CCATCCATCCATCCACTATCCATCCACCCATCCCTCCAACCATCCATCCATCCACTATCCATCCATCCACCATCCATCCATCCCCATCCACACCATCTCTCTTCCCTCCCTTCCTCCCATCCATCCATCCATCCATCCATCCCCCCATCTGCCCATTTGCCTATCTATCCATCCATCCACCATCTGTCCACCCAACCTCTCATCCCTCCCTCCCTCCCTCCTCCATGGATCTTTCCAGCCAGTCAGCTGAGCAGCCTGCTACCGCTCCTTCCCTCCCACTTGCTCCCTATTAGCCCAACAATCAGACCCATCAGAGGTGACATTCAAATGCCTCAACTGCTGGCGCGGACATCCTCTGATGCGAATGCAGTGCAGGTGTGCACCAGCACACATTCCTCTGTCCTGACGCCCCACACCAGTGCTTGGGCCCCCGTGAGCCCCCTCTGACCTGCTCAGACCGGGAGGGCAGCACTCTTACTCAGTAGTGCTCCGGGGTCTACACAGCTCTGCTGAGTTCATACCTCCCTCGGTCTTCCCACTGCTCACCCCGGCTGCGGTGGACATTGGGTGCTTTCTCTCCACCGTGGTCCAGGCCGGGGCGAGGTGCTGGGGAGTGGATGCAGTTTCGTCCACAGCAAAAGTAAATCCAGGTCCCATGTCCCCAGTGGCTGAACCCGGTCCAGACTCAATCCCCCCCTTGCTCCTCCGGCCCCTCCACGACCCTGCCCCTCCTCCCACTCACTCTCCCGGCCAGACGGGCCCCTTTCTGTCCCTGGAAAACGCAGGGCCCGAGGGCCTCTGCTCTGGAACGTCCTCCCTGGAATGCCCTCGCCCACATCTCCGCCTGGTGGGGTCCTTCCCACACTCAGCTTAAATGTCACTTCCCAGAGGGTTGGCCCCCCCCTTACATCTCACACAGGCAAATTCTCCACATAGCACTGGGAGTTCCAGAACCTTCTCCCTGGTGTTCCTTTCTCACTAACTCTCTTTCCCCATGGGACACAGACTCTAGGAGAGGGGGTGGCGTCCGTCTGTCCTGCTCACTGTCTACCCCACACACACCCCGAGCAGGGGCTCACAGAATGGCTCAGGGCTTGGGGACCCCGGAGGTTCCCTGGGGTGGATGAAAGCCACACGACAAACACCTCTGGGCCTCGTTCCTCCTTTTCTGCAGGTCGGGGCGGATCCTCAGAGTGGTGGCCAGGGTCCCTTTGGGGCGGATTTCCAACGTAGCCCTGGAGAAGTGGCCCTGTTCCTGCCTGCCTGCCAAGCCAGGTGCGGTGTGAGCGCTAGAGAGCCCGGTGCAGCCGAGGACCAAGCCCTATGCTCTGGGCGCTAGTAGGAGGCAGGGTGGAGGTGGGGGCCTGGCACCGGGAGGCTGCCAGGCTGCCGGGACCATCAACCCGATGCTGGGCAGGTGGTGGCTCCTCACGATGAAAGCTGAAGGCCCACAGGCCCTGGGAGGGCAGCCACCCCATCCCCGGAGCCCAAGGGGAGGGAGAGAGAGCTGAAGAAAGGAGCCATGAGGAAAGAGACGCCCCCCACAACCCGGGCCGTGGAGCCAGCCCCCAGGTGGGGCTGCACCCACGGTGGGCAGCTGCCCCCCCCACCCGCTGGGAGGCTCCCCGGGCCTGGGCTCCAGCTGCCCAAGGGCTCAGGGGCGCTCTCTCTGGTCTCCCACCTGGGGCACCAGAGCCCCCC